TAATTATATGTTCAATCTTGCTCATCTGGTCGTAATGTTTACCACCATAAAATCAAGGCTTGGTTGCACTTTTTGCTAGATTGACATTATCCAATCATCTTTGTTCTTTCTAAGCAGTTATGATTGATTTGTTTGCAGTTTTGTTCAGTGGATGACCACATCACCTGCTTTTATCACTTATGTGTGATTTGTGCTCGTGATATTATGTAATAAGTTTATTGTTAGTATTATAAGTAATCATTACGTTTATGATCAAAGTTCATAACTGGGGGCTAATTTGAAACAATGTGTTAGAAAACAATGAAAGAAAGAGATACTAGTGAGCATTGTTTTTTTGGATGAGATTGCTTTTAGTTTTTCATGCCAAATTTCCCTGTATCAAATAGATTCTAGAAAACTGATTAGTGTGTGTAAAGGTATTTGGTGTCTTCATTTGTTCAACCATGAAGATAAAATAACAAAGAAACAAAAGGAAAGGGACAAGCAAAACCAAAAAAATCTATAATGATTTAGTTGCCAAACATATGTTAATATCTGATTGTTCCAACTGATAATGACAGATTAAATCAACGTTTTTGTAAATATTTGATTGAATAATAATGATTTTACTACTCTTCTTACTGGTTTTAAGAGGCTTGTTCTTTCGGTTCAGACCTACTGTAATTAAGAAGAAGCTTCAAGAATTTTAAAAGTTTCAAGTATAAAATTTCTTTTTTGACTGCTTACTTTTATGTCTGAAGGAAATGTTGCACAGGCAATTATTGAATCACCTGGAGCCTTGCATGTAGGCTTTTTAGATGATATGTTGAGAAGCATTGCATCGTATCAATTATTTCTACTGCTTTCACCATGAATACCAATTGTTGATGGCTTGTATGATATGTATTTACTAGTAATTTTACAAAGAACATGGGATGTGTGAAGTAAAATTGACCTTAATGAAATTATTAAGATAACTGGCTCTCCTTGTATACTTGCCAATATGTCCTTAATGTCCCCCATATGCTTATGTACTCCGATGGAACATCAAGGTAATCCTCCTATGTAGACATTTGACACTAGTACTTTATGTTTTTCTATGAAGAGAAAATAACATAAGGTGCAGAATTGTCCTTGGGTATCATTGTTAATTGTTGATGTGGGTGAAGAGGGAAAACCCTTTGGTTGGAGCCAAAGTTTCCATAGTCACTGAATTGCTCATGATAAGATTTCTTGTATTCTGGTCTATTAATTTAGGGGATTTACATCACGAGCAGCTTTAGTTACTTAAAAATTTGTACAACAATATCTTCTTTGAGGGCTTTTTTAGAAGTTTCTGGTTGTGTTTGCTTGTCTCTTGGGGACCTTTGTCTGGTATTGGGAAAGAATATTATTCTGTGGGGCTGTCTAAATTCTAAAAGGTTATTTGCTCAATATTAGGTGTTTTTAGGAACAAGAAATGATTGTTCTGTTGTTTTATAGTCTGATAGGAAGCCGTGGTTCTTTGCATTATTCTGTACATAATACTTTAGTCTACCTATTCTATATATTGGTATGGTATGAAACAAAGAATCTGTTTCACATTTGATAACTTTAATTTATTTACGCCTAAAACTTCCAAGAGCTTCTTTCTTTTTGGCCTCCCTAATGCACTACTAACTGCTCTATTTGATAGTTGATTGTCACTGACCTTTCTTGCTGTCAAATTGTACCTTCATCTCTAGCTTTACATATAAACTACATGACAAAGGTTCCCCTTACTGAAAAGGTTGCACTAGATCAATGACATCTCTGCACTATTAAACCCTCTTTTAATTTGAATTGCAATGATATTGGGAAATTTTGAATTCTCTGTTCCTTCCTATATGTGATCGCTTAAAAAAAAAAAAAATCCTTTTCAACTCTGGGTTTATAACTTCACTTCTCTTTCTGTTCTTTCTTTTTTTTTTTTAATTTTTTTTTATAAAATGTTGTGAATCCATTGTTATCCGAAAGTAGAAACTTATTTAATTACATGGCTCTTCAATTCATTTATACCTATATGATATGCCAATTATTTGTGGTGTTATTTTGATAACTTAAATGTACAAGTTCCAGTATTTCCGAAAGGTCAAAAAGTATACATGACTATGTTTTCATTTACACCAGTATACTGGAGCTCCTCTTTTTCCCATGAGGCGTAATGATCTTTATCTTACAATAACAGGTTGATAGAAGGTACAAGCACTATTACCATCAGATGCAAATTGTGGTATCATCATTTGATGTGATAGCGGGATGTGGGGCAGCTAAACCATACACAGCAGTTGCCCTCCAGACTATTTCACGCCACTTTCGATGCTTACGTGATGCAATCACAGGGCAGATACGAGCAACCCGTAAAAGCCTTGGGGAGGAAGGTGCGTCAGGAAGCATTAAAGGAGTCGGAATATCTCGCCTCCGTTATGTGGACCAGCAACTCAGGCAGCAGAGGGCCCTTCAGCAACTTGGTATGATGCAACAGCATGCATGGAGGCCACAAAGAGGTTTGCCAGAAAGCTCTGTTTCGATTCTGCGAGCATGGCTGTTTGAGCACTTCCTTCATCCGTAAATCCTCTGACTTCAAACTTTTTCTCAAACTATTGTTTTTGGGAGATATCAGAGTCCTTGACTTAATTTAATGTCTAACTATTGATATTTTCCAGCTATCCGAAGGATTCTGATAAGATCATGCTAGCAAGGCAGACAGGCTTGACTAGAAGTCAGGTAATGGGGAAGTAATCGTATTTTATATATAGCATTTGGCTAGGTGCACCATGTGCATATGTGACAGGGAATAGGATATTTTTCCTATTTTGACTTTGATACATATAAATCTGTTGAATTAGGACATGGAATGTGTTGATTCTTAAAGGGATACATAGTTAGGAAAACTGTGGAGCTGAGTAGTTGGTAGGGGTACTTGCAGAGTATTACGAAAGAAAAAGCAAAAGAATGTTGTCTACATTAAGGAGGAAAATATAGCTAGTTCCTTGCTAGAAATATGAACTTTACTGCAGCAGTTACTTTATTGTTACTTTTCAAAGTTGATGGGTATGGTATTGCTATAACAAGTTATTCAAATAAACTTAATATTGTTTTATTTGAATAAAAAATTAGCATTTACAGATAATACATCAGTTACTGAGTACAAATGTCTTCATTTTAATTCGATGCAACTTGAGATCTCAAAGTTCATGTACTCTTTCATTGTGGCACAGGTCTCAAACTGGTTTATAAATGCGCGGGTGCGTCTCTGGAAGCCCATGGTCGAGGAGATGTACAAAGAAGAGGCTGGTGATGCGGAAATGGACTCCAATTCTTCATCTGAGAATGCACCTCAAACGAAAAAAAGTGACATGAGGACCATGGAAGATGGAGTAGAAGATATGCAGCCTAGTGCTAGTTCGACATGCACTGAGAGATGCAGCACTGGACAATTTATGGACTCCAAATCCGACCATTTCCATGATGTGGAAATGGCTGGATCCACTGGGTCTGCCAGTTTCCAAAATGGGACTCGTCGCGAAGCTGAAGCTCAGTACGGGCTGGTGAAGCTTAGAGAGGGGCAAAGGGCTGGTATGGATGACTGTAGCCTCTTTTCTGATCCAAATGTTCACTCTGATAGGAGCAGTGAGAGGTTTATGGAAGCAGCTGATGCATACCACATGCCAGAGTTGGGGAGATTTGGAAGCGGAAGCGGGGTGTCTCTGACATTGGGGTTGCAGCATTGTGATGGTGGTAGCCTGCCCATCTCTACTGGAACTCATCACAGTTTTGTTGCCATGAGAGGGGATGATTTATACAATCCTGCAGCTTCTTCTGTAGGATCTGAGACAGCAGATTTTGAATGCATGGATTCTGGGAACCAGCAACACAGATTCGGTTCCTCCCATCTTTTACGCGATTTCGTCGTGTGAAGATGCTTCTTTGCATATCCACATTGCTTATTTTCAACCTATTCTTAGGGGGAGAAACAACAGACATTGATAGGCTTTGGACTGCGCGATTAGGAACATTCGTCTTTGCTTGCAAATGGTGAAAAGAAACATTGTACTCCTCCAGACATGAAAACATACTAGTACAGTTGTATTATATGAAGAAATTGATTGAAAGATCAGCATATTTGTAAAGATAAGATACATATTTCTTTTTTGGTTTAATATGTGGAAGGGAAAAAAAATGTACAATCAGTGCCAACTGTGGTAATGGTATTGAAGAAAAACATTTATATTATAGTTTGCAATAAAGCTTCCTGACAAATTGTCTTGACTGTTATTTCAACGTTGCCTGGTCAATTTCTCAAGAGCAACAAAGCCAACAAGAGCCCTTCTTTTGGCCCGGCATTGCTGTTTGCTAGATACTTCTGTGCATGATATACAAGTGCTTGGGAGGAAGTTATTGGTATCCTAAGTTTTTAAAATAAATATTAGAACTACTTTATTTGAAAGGGGTATGATTGGCATTTAACTCTCTTTGGTTGACAGAGATGGTTCTCTTATCTAAAGTATATAGATAGATATTGGCAGTCTTTCACATGAAAGATATTTGCTTTTACAAGGGAGTTTTAAGGTTTGCTAAATTATGGCTTGGCTAAAGCAAAGAAAGATATTTGCTTTTACAAGGGAGTTTTAAGGTTTGCTAAATTATGGCTTGGCCTATAGGCTATATGTCTTCTATCTTCCTCTTCCTTTTCTTACGCTTTTAAGCAAATCGGGGGAAGATTTAGCAAAACCATTTCAGCATTCTAAAACTGGCAGTTTTCTTTTGCTTTCAAGGCCTTTGAAGTCCTTACTCTGGAATGCTCATATTTATAATTATTTTAGAAGTATTTTGTAGCTTAATCCCTGAGAACTTGTCAAAATACTAAAAAACACTTCACATATTTTTCTCTATGCTAACAAGCTCTAACGAGCATTCGGATCAGCTACAACATGCATTTTTTACAACTTCCCATTCTGCAGATTCATTTACAAAAGAAAGAGAAGCCAAGCACAGCTGTTGCTTACCTACCGTCAGCATTGTTCAAAATGGCCTACAGAGTTACTGGTATCCTTGACCTAAGTTTTAAAAGATGAGTATGAAGCTTAGTGGTCATGACAAAAAGTGAGATTATTTACGTTTTCCCCAAAGCCTTAGGCCTGCCTTGATGGTTTTACCTGAGCAAACAAAAAAAAAAAAAAAAAAAAGTCAAATCTTTATATCTTCCTGAAAGTTTAATGAAAATATGATGAATGCACAAACCTTTTCCGCAAAACTTTTATATCTTCCTGCAACAATCGACTTTCCAAGAACATATCACCACATTCATTGACATCAACAGTCTTCATATAAAAATCTTGGTCTCCACAGCTCTCGTTCCACTCGAACCACATTCTTGAAATCAATTCCTTCCTACAGCAGATAAAGTGGTCTTCCTCTTCAGGCGAATCAGCAGCAACCAATCTATAGACATAGACTTTCTTCTTTTGTCCTGGTCGAAATGCACGGCCTACTGCCTGGCGAGTTACTGAAGGGTTAAGTTGAACATCCATAATTAGGATTCGAGAAGCCCCCACTAGAGAGATTCCTTCCCCACAAGCTTTAATGGAGCCAAGGAAGATTTTAGCATCAGCTGAAATGTTAAAGCGTTCCACAGACTGTTCCCTATGCTTAGAATTTGAATCACCTGTGATCAAGAAAATTTCCTTGTTTAGACTCCAGTCCTTTACCTTCACTGCTAATCTCTCCATAAGTTTCAGAGGCGTAATATACTGGCTGAAAACCAGCAGCTTCTCACCAGTTGATTCACATAGGCCTAGTATACTAAGAAAGAACTTAGCTTTTACTCCATCTCTCAAATTTATATTTTCTATAAGTTTATCCATCTCCTTATTATCAATTTCAGAGCCTTTTCCTCCTGTTGACGAATATTTGTCTGTAAGAGATTTCAACTCTGGATGCATATACACAAGACTCCCCACAGAAGCTTTCTTGAAGTAATCCAATTTGTTCAACTTTTTCGCTTCAAGTTTCTGTCTTGAACTAAGATTAAGTACAACGGTGAAATCCACAAGTCCCGGAAGTTCGTCCAGAGAATCTCCTTTGTAATAATGCAGGACCTTCCTGGTCATTTCTCGAAGATCTTGTATGACAGCCACTTTCCTTCTAAAATCTTCATCTTTCTGGAGAGTGTGTTCTATTAAGTCAAACAGAGCTAAATTTGTACCAGTTTTCGATTGTCTCCTCACACCTGATATCTGCACTCTGCTCATTATCCGATTAACGACAGCCCTGGAAGTATCCAATTTCAGAAACTTGGGACGAACAAGATTTAAAATATTGAAAACTTCTTTCACATGGTTTTGATACAGGGTTCCTGAGAGGACAACTTTTAGAGGTGTTTGGACTCGTGCAAGGGACTGAAGCATATTTGTATCCTCATTCCTTGGAGTGTGACCTTCATCTAAAATAAGAATGCGAGGGACCTTCAACAGAATTTCTTGACAATCAACCGATGTCCTACTGGTCCCATTGTCACACATTATAGTAGAGAACTGTTGATACCCTAAAAAAAGGATGCTCTTCTGCTCTACCCATTGTTTTAAAATATCCAACTGCTGAGACCGGTTATCTGCTTTGGAAGTGTAAAAATCATGCAACGGAATGTCCTCCACCTGCCATATCTTGAACTCTTTCTTCCATGTAGCCAGAATGCCTTTAGGTAGAACAATCAGTGGTCTAGCATGGGGGAACCTAGCTAGGAAACTCTGCACAAAACTTATAATCAGAAAAGTCTTTCCAGAACCAGGGGCATGAGCCAAAATGCAACCGCCTGGATTATCTGTCAGCAAGTTGCTAGAAAGAAAATTAAAGCCCTCCACCTGATGTGGTTTCATTTGATTTCTATGCCTTGGATGGGCATAAATTTCTGTTGCTATTAAATAATCCTTAGTAGACTTCGGTCCAACTGAGAAACTCTGAGTTGACTCGGTAGTGTTGGCATTCCGTGACTCATACATGTAAGTTCGTTTAGTCCTTTTGGCCTGATTGTGAGGAAACAAGGATGAAGGATCACAAGTGAAAAATATGCACGAGAATAAATTAACAGAAAAAGGCATCCCATCTTCTGACATGATCCAATCAGAGATACCACTAGATGACAGAAAATAATAACCAAGGAACAAAAGATGGATAATTAAGTGTCAAATATTTTTCCATGACAAAAGATCATAAGTTAAAAGAAAAGACTGAGTAATAGCCATCCAAGGCATGAAATGAAACATAGCACCCTAGATAATTATTTCTTGTTGAAGAATGCAAAAGTATCACATCTGAAACTTGACAAAACATAATACAATATGTAAGTGAGTGGTTCCACCTCTAATAACACCGAGGCCTTTGCATAAAAGTAAAAAAAAAAAACACCCAGGCCTTTTGTGGTAAAACGCCACACCTTCTAGGCTATGCACGTGGTTAAGTTGGGGACAATATCGGTGTTGGTAGTAGGAATGTAAAAATACCACTTTGGAACAACAACAAAAATGATGCAGATAGTTAATGATTAAACAACACATGTTCCACCTCAAAGCTAGATAGTCCAGAGTTTTTCAAATATATCCAACATTTAATTTCAGAAACAAGTAAATGAACCTCACACGAGTAGTTTACTAGTTCATTCATGTGAAACTTTATCTAATGACATAAGTTGCACAAAAGAAGAAAAAAGCATGAATACCTTACTATATTGGAATTCAAACATAGTTTCAATTCCTTGTTGAACAACTCCACAGATACGACAAACTAATCCAAGATCATCCTTCTGGATGAAAAAGTGATCACATTCTTCCCCACATACACCAGATGTTTCATCAGCTGAAGGATCAACAGCAATATCCTAGAAGAAGCAGCGAGCATAAATTTGATATAATTTGAAAAAGAAAAGTACCATCATGGAAAGTTTGGTACAAAATCAATTATCAAAATTTTGGTATGCTCTAAGCTATCTGATGCAGATACCTTGGAACATTCTGTTGCCATTGCCATCTCCTTCCATATTTCTGCTAGATCATCTTCGTCAATATCATTTTTCTGATACTGTTCTTTAATCTGGAAAGTGTCGTGATTACCTTCCCCAACCACCTTATCATGTTCATATTCTCCAATAACATGATCGGGCTTATCTGTCCCAACATCCATGTTACCAGCCAGAACTCCTACCTCTGTGCTTGGAGCTATGCACCCCTTGTTAGTCTCTTGATAATTAGTTTTCCAATTACATTCCTCTTTTTCAGAAGATATTTGATTCTCTTTTCCAATCACCATAAGGTATGCTGCACCAACATTGATCTCTTTATCCATCCCAGTATCAATTTTACGGAACAGAGTTTCCAACTCTTCTGTCTGAGCTTTGCTCTCTGCATGATCCTGAAACAGTAAAATATGATGACCATGGCAATCAATGTGCATATAGGACAAGAAGGAAAATGGTACAGTAAGTTCTAGACCAATCACCATATTTTCTGCTGCATCTTCAGCTATCTCAATATCGACTTTTTCGGACAAAGTTTCCAACTTTTCTGTCTGATCTTTGCTCTCTACACAATCCTGAGCCAGTAAAGTATGATGACCATGCCAGCCAATATGCATATAGGATAAACAATGAAAACGATTTAAAAAACGAGTTATACGTCAATCACCATATTGTCTTCAAAACCAACATCTATATCTTTATCTATCCAAATATCAACTTTTCCAGACACAGTTTTCAACTCTTCTCTCTCATCTTTGCTCTCTAAACAATCCTGAAACATAATATGATGACCATGAAAACCAATATGCATATAGGATAACAGGGAAAACAATTTGAACATTGAATTCTAGACCAATCACCATATTGTATGCTGCACCAACATTTACATCTTTATCTATCCAAATATCGAAATCTCTAAGCAGAGTTTCCAACTCACTACTCTGATATTTGCCCTCTACAGAATCCTGAAACAGAATATGATGATCAGTCCATCGCTGAAATTTTAGGCAAGGTACATTAATATTTCAAATGCAGGGAAAGAACATACCGTCATGTTCTTCTTTAGCAATCTTCCAACGGGCTCCAATACAACCTTCTGATTTAGATGGACTGGCCTCCTACTTCCATTTTCTTCATCATCAGAACTCAGGACAATGACAGGCGGTGCTCGTGCTGTAATATTGTTCCGAGTTTCATCTTCCAAATTCTTGATATGTTGATCATGGTCTGGAGGATGCTCTAACACAAGCTTCTGATACAGATGAAGTGGCCTCCTACTTCCATTGTCTTCATCATCCGAACTAAGGACAACAACAGGCGGTCCTACTTCTGTACTGTTGTTTGGACTCTCATCCTCTATATCAATGACATGTTGATGACGTTCCATAGGAGACTGCAGCACAACCTTCTGATTCCATTACTCTTCCAACACTTCAAAGTTAATGCTAAGTGATAAACAATCAAATTTTTTTCGAATTCATCACATAATCATTGTCTCAGAACATGCCAACATTAATCTTGAAAGAGATCCCACCAGAAAAAAAGTAAACTAAACATACTAAAGCTCTGTTTTTGGGGTAACAGTAAAATATTAACAAAAGAAAAACTGTGAAATGTCAACAATCCATCAATCTGGAGCCCCTAAAACTCGTATTAGTTCCACTGGGTGGCTTTCTGATCCAACCCAGAAAGCTTTCAGGCGTCATTGATTAGGTGGAAAGATAAAAAGTACCCATTACTTAATGAAGGTTTCTCTTGTAAAACGTTATTGTAAACCAAAAAAAAAGAAGATCTTGCTTGTAGAAACACACTTAAAAAAGCAAAAGACAACAATGAATGAAGAGAGGAAGAATCAAAGATATTAGTGTGTTTTTTCTATCTTTTTTTAAGAAAAAAGAGCAAGCAACTGAATGTTAAATCATAAAAGGAAATTTCTGAAGCAAAAAGGACGAGGAAAAAGACTGAACCTTTACCTCTGAAACTCGGGTAGAACTCACCTGGGAAATCAATTTCTGGTCCCACACACAGCTCACTATGCACTAAAATCAGTTTCAACAAATAAGCTTAAAGAAAGTGTAAACACACCAAACAGTTCATTATTCTGTAATGCAAGCAAAAGATGAGCCTAGTTTTTCTTGGAAAACAAGAGGGAGAGAGAGAAAAGATGGGTTGTTCTAGCATGCACTGAATGTATATGGATAGGTGTTAGAAATGGCTTCTGCTCAAAAATCTTCTTCGAGTGTTTGTGTGGGGAGAGTGGGAAAAATAGGAAAAGGTACCGTACACACAAAGTTACAGGCTCTGCTTTCCTCCACTCTTCTTTCCGTATTTTCTCGGTACGGATTCCCAAGTTAAATAGTGGCATTCTCTGTCTGAATCCGGAGAGCCAAAAATTATAAGGCAAAACGGAACTTTCGGTCTCAGTAGTTTATCATTTTTATCACTAAGATCTCTGTAGTTTTAATTTGGTCATTTTTACCATATGGTTTTAATTTGAAGCAATTTAAGGATAATTCACAATTTCAGTTTCAGTTATTTGTGGAGAGACAACTCAGTCTACGAATTATTAAAAAGTTAAGGGAGTTTCACTAAAACACCGAAAATGGGAGCTGAAATTATAAAAAAATCCAACACCCAAAACACTTTATAAACACACCCAAAATCCATTATTACACACACTCAAAACCTATTTATAAATACACCCAAAAAATATATAATTGTTGACTTTGGGGTTGATTTTGGGTGTGTTTCTATGTTTAAATAGTGTTTGGGTTTTTTTATAAATACATGTTTAAGATTGGGTTTATTTATAAATTTGTAAAAAGTTAATTCCTTTTAAAATAAACCATACAAATATAAATTTTTAAAAATAATTTTAAAATAAAAATAAAGCGTCTCTCTCCCCCATAACCTCCCAACCCCAACCTAGCCAACCTCCACCTCCCTATAATTGACACTTGCATGCAATGACGAAGGGCAAGTATAATTATTCTCATTTGCACTTGCATGTAGCGATGATTAGTTATAAACACGGTCATGGAGGTGCCACTCTCATTCTTTCCCATCACACCCTTGTGCCAATAGCATACGATAAGAGCACTTCCAGCAGTGGGAATCTTGCCATGGCAATGGGGGGACTAGGGCTGACACTATTCATGAGAATAGTATTTGCCCTTGCAAAAAGTAAGTTGCACTTCCAGCAGTTTCTATGGAAATGGGGGTACTATTCAATTTTTTGTTTTTTTCACAAATTTGTTTACCTAAACAATTAATTTGGACAATATTTTCGGATGAGATTTTATGATAAAATATTCGGATAATAGTTTCTTTGATAGAGAAAAATTAAACTTGAAAGTGAAAAAATTATTGAGTAGAAAGTGAATTTGTTGTTAAAAGTGAAGAGTATGGATTGGTATTTATAGAAAAAAATTCAATATTTTGTGGGGTTTTTTTTTAAAAATTTTACGATTTTTTTTCATAATTTTTTACCTTGAAAAATTCCAGGGCATTGGATTGGATGAAAAATCGAAAATCGGAAGGACTAGATTGCTCCACGTGGCAGCGGAAAGAAATTTTTTTTGAATTGTGCTTGCTAACGTCACGCTGACGTCAGCTCGCCTTCGGGCCAGCCCAGGCTCGTGGACCCCACCCTGCCCGAGCCAGCCTTTGTTGCTGAAACTTGCATTTGGGCTCTTGCTCCCCCCCAGCCCGAGCCCTAGGGGGCTGCTGGAAGTGGCCTAAGAGAAGGGAACATAGATGTTTTATTTTAACTTGAAATTAAGTTTTTATTCTTTATATTCTTTATTTTTTTTAAAGGAATTAATTTTTTAATAATTTATGGACTGAATTTTCCCTCAATAAATAACATTAGGTTAAATAAATTTGACAAAGATTGAGAATTATCCTTTAATTGCTTCAAATTGAAACCACATAGGTAAAAATGACCAAATTAAAATCACAGGGACATTAGTGGTAAAAGAGATAAACTACAAGGACCAAAAATGACATTTTTTCAAATTAAAATGTTAGATAGTGGCATTTATTATTGTATTATTGGGCTTTCTTTTTGTTGATAAATTTGTTTTGGATTTGTGAAGAAATCGTCAAGATTTATCCACATATTGAAAAAGCACTTTTTTTTTTCTTTCAAAAGAATTTATTTTTAGCAAAAAATTGGACTTGATGGACTAGCACCTTAGCGTTTAGTTTGGTAGCTCACCATAAACTGAATTGGAATCGAGTCCAAAGCACTCTTTATGAGTCTCACCTCTCTATATATAATTTATAAATCCCAACATTTATAAGTGAACAAAATAGCTGTAAGAACATTAGTTTAATTTAATTGAAATAGTCTAGTTCAAGCCGAGCCATCAAACGAGGCCTAAATTTGTACCCAAAGATATGAAAGATATCAAGCTAGAATGGGCCTATTTATGAAAAGCCCACATTTTTGTCCATCAACCTTAACTTTTCATCTAAACATTATATTTTTATAGAAAAAAATAGATATTTTTTTAATTAAG